AATGCTCAGTGTCACTAATCATCAGGGAAATACAAATAGAACCACAATGAGCTATCACCTCACACCTGTCAGGATGGCTATTATTAAAAAAAAAAAAAATAGTGTGTGAGGATGTGGAGAAATAGGAACCTAACCATTGGTGGGAACACAAAATGGTGCAGCTACTATGCAGTGCAGTATACAGGTTCCTGAGAAAAATACAAATAGAACTACCAAATGATCCAGTAATCCCACTTCTGAGTGTTTATCCAAAAGAATTGAAATTAGGATCTCAAAGATATATTAACACACTTATGTTCATTGCAGCCCTATTTACAGTAGCCAAGTTGTGGAAACAACCTAAATGTCCGTCAAGAAGTGGATAAAGAAAATGTAGTATATGCATACAATGGAATATTAGTCAGCCTTAAAAAAGAAGGAAATTATGTAATATGTGATGACATAAATAAACCTTGAGGGCATTATGCTAAGTAAAATAAACCAATCACAGAAAGACAAACACTGTATGATTCCATTTCTATGAAGTAACTGAAATAGTGAAATTTGTAGAATCAAAGATTGGAATGGTGGCTACCAGGGCCTGGGAGAAGGGGAAAATGGTGCATTACTAGCCAACAGGCATAAAGTTTCAGTCAAGCAGTATGAATAACTTCTAGAGATCTGCTGTACAACATTGTACCTAAAATAAAAAATAATGTATTGTACACTTAAGTAAGTGTATTGTACACTTTGTTAAGATGGTAGCTCTCATGTTAAATATTACAACAATTAAATGAAATAGGTAAAAATAAAGTCTTTCTTTTCCAATGCAGCAGGTAAAATGCCCCGTCCTAAAAATACTTGTTTTTATTTATGTTTTATGCCTATGGATACATTGAGATTTCACATTTTCTAGAGATTCTCTTTACTGAAATCATCTTTTTGAGATTTGCTCATCTCCATGAAGTTACTCAAAAATATTTATTAATTCCATAATAAATTTCTTGCACTAATATAGGTTCTCCAAGTTGTAAGAGAAACATGAATCATCCATGAAATCTCTTTCTTCTTGGTAAAACAGGACTGACATATGAAATAATCAGTGAATAAGGTGGTAAAGTAGATGACAGTTGAAAGGGATGCTTCCCTAGACCTTTATAAATCTACACATTCTAGAATATCAGTATAGTACATAATTTTATTTGTTATCATAAATGTAGAACAAAGCCATATTCAGATGTTGTTGTCTTAGTAGGTTTGCAAGCAGGTTAAGCACTTTGGTTCCCAACACTAGGCTCTTCAAATGCACAACTCCAGTTTATACTTCTGCTTTCCACTATGAATTTTTCTTTGGCGTGTTCATAAATAACCAAAAACATAAGCATTAATTATGCTATGCCAAGGCACTATATATGATAAAACACTATTGGTACATTACAGATATTATAGAATTCAGAGATGTGAGTCTGTTTGGGTTGAAATTGTTGAGATAGCTTCATAGTAGAATTTGAAAAGATATTAAAAGTCATCTGTTTCCCCAAATTACATAGACATCCTCTGTTAAATACTTTTCAGTTAGATGGTGTCTTGTCTCTCCTTTGACTATCTTCTTTAAAAGATTTTATCACTTCCCCAAAGAGCCTGTTCCTTTGAACTCTGATTATTAGAAAGCTAAAATTTATTATAGGATTTCCTCCTATGGATATGTAGTTTTACCTTTTGATGCAGTACAGAACAAGCTCACCACTTCTTCAAGACAATCCTTAAATTATTTGCAAATAACCGTTATGTTTCCCTTGATTCATGCCTGTAATTTGGGGGGAAAAAAAACTTTTCTACTCCTCATACCACATTTAGCACAGAACACTTCTGTGACCAGATGTGTGGGTTTTTTTCCCACACTAACCAGTTCTCTGGTGGACACCGACTTGGTGTCTTATAATTTAGTTCAATTCTGACACAGTCTAGCTGGATTTAGAGTCAGATCCCACAGGTTAAAGGCTGAGTCCCACAAGACTGCACCCATTTCAGATGCCAAGTGCGAGTTTGGGCCTGCAGAACTTCTGACCAACTGGCTATAAATCAGGATTGCAAGGACCAGCCCGTGGCTCACTCCGGAGAGTGTGGTGCTGATAAATCAGGATTGCCACGACATTCTCCTCCAGTTTATTAGAAGGAATGTTACAAAAGATACAAATGAATAATGAGTAGGAAAAGATGCATAAGGCAAGGAGTGAGGGAAGAGGCATGGAGCTTCCTCCGAGCACCCCATCCTCCGTGCTTCTCTATGTGTTCAGCAATCCTCAAGTTCTCCAAACCCTATCCTTGTGGGTTTTATAAGGATGCATTATTATGTAGGCTTTATTACATAGGCATGATTGCTTAAATCATTGGCCATTGGTGATCAACTGAACCTTCAGTCCCCTCTCTTCTCCCTGGAGGTCAGGGTGGGGGGCAGAGTTGGGGTGGGGCTGAAAATTCTAGCCCCATATTTACACAAGGTTGGTTCCCCAGGCAACTAGCCCCCATCCTGAGGCAACCCAGGAAGCAACCTCTACAGTCATTTTATTAGCATACAAAAAGACACAACTTCTTTGGGTTTTAGGAGATTTGTGCCAAGAAACTGGAATAAAAACGAATATATTTCTTAGGATAAATCACAGCATCACAATGCCCAGTGTTAACACCCTTGATGAAGACAGGGCTAATGTCTGGAATGCTGCTCACAGCGCCAATTGTAGCTCTCGTAATCCTGTTCGTGAGGCCAATTGTCTAGCTACACAACCACACTAGTTGTTGGGCTCTTTTACATGCCAGTAATCCTGTACCAACTGGGCCAATTGTTGAGCTAAGGCTGGGTCTGGAGCCCACAGACCCCTCAAGCCCATTCACAGACTGGGTCACAAACCCTTCACATCCCAGGCTGGGTCCCCAGACCCCTCACATACCAGGTTGGGTCACCAGACCCCTTACATGCAGGTCTATGAGCTAGGTAACCAGCCAAAAGGTCCTTGGAGCCATAGGTTGTAAAGCATGGCTGCGCCAGGTGGACGCCCACCCATCTGCTTCACTAAAACTACCTCTCTCTCTCTCTCTCTTTCTCTCTCTCTCTCTCTCTCTCTCTCTCTCTCTCTCTCTCTGACAAACACAGGAATAGCAACAAAACTAAAAAACACATTGGCACACATGCACACTAACTGCACACACATCCACACACACACAATTTGCTTGCAAAGGATGTGCTAAAACCACACCCAATTGGACCCGAGGCGAGGGCCCTGACCAAACTATTCTATTTTCCCAACAACCCTGCTGTTTTTTGCTGTTATTTTTTAACTTTTCTAGCTTGGTATAATCTACCTACCTCTCATTTTTCTATCCTTCTTATACTGCATGTGATAGTTGGTCTCTTAAATTGTGATATGTGAATTGAATACTAAATTCTAGTCTGCAGTAGTCTACTTTCCCAGCTGAAGAAAAAGATGAAATTCTGAATCTTTCATATATCAATAAAGGCATTCATTCATTCATTCCTCAAAGATATAGGTGCTGTGAGGTACTAAATCATGTGTGAGGCACTGGGAGTTCTGGGAGAAGCTGATCCTCAAAAACAGCTCACATTGTGGCCAGAAATATATTATTAAATATATTATTTAAAAATATAATGTTTAAATATAATGCAGTGTGCACTGTAAGGGTATATATAAAGTTTTATCAAAATGCGGAAAGGAAACAGTTAATTCTGCCTGAGAGTGAGTAGGCCACATAGGGTATTGAGGGATGAAGGCAGACAGAATGAGGACATCCCAGGCAAAGGGAAATACAATAGAGTGTTAAAAATATGAAGTCAATGGGGCCGGCCCGGTGGCACACTGGAGAGTGCGCTGCTTGGGAGCGCAGCGACGCTCCCGCCAAGGGTTCGGATCCCATGTGGAGACCGGTTCCCGCTCACTGGCTGAGCGTGGTGCGGGCACAACACCGAGGGTTGCGATCCCGTTACCAGTCAGTAAAAAAGACAAAAAGGGAAAAATATGAAGTCAATGAAATTGGGTAGAACATGAGAGAAACACAATGAAAGTTGCCTCAGGAACTGTAGTTAGTGAGATATAAGCGTGATTTGTTGGGATTGGAGGAGACTGAAGTCAAGACTATCAGTCAGGAGGTAACTATAATATATATCTGAAGTAATATGGAATCCGTACCATCATGGTAAAACCAGCACTTAAAATCAATTCCCTTCGAAAAGGTTTTTCTATGCTTAGAAGACTACTTTATGTCCTACTTTGAGTTCTTCCACAAGCAGATCCTGAGGAAAGGATTTCAAAGCATGTATTTATTTAGGAGGTAATTCCAGGAAGCACCAGTAGGGGAGTGGAAAAGTCAGACCAAGAAGGGAAGTGAAGGCAGCCAGCAAAGGGTTTTTAAAAATCAAGGAGGTTAACGCTGTGAGTAACCGAAACTTAATCCCAGTAATGAACTCTGAAAGCCAGTGTAGAACACAGGCCTCAAAGTTATTCCACCCAAGGAGCAAAGGAGTTCGGGTTATTTATACACCGATTCTCTTCAGTCATATTGAGCTGCTCCAGAGCAGGTGAGATGTTAATTCTACACCTGTAGCCTTCTGCGCAAGTAGGTGAGCAAAAGAGGTTCAGCAAACCAGAGAAAACCATAAGACACAGAAATGTAGTACAGGTCGCTTGAAATGATCCAGGTATCCACTGAAGTAGTGAAGATGAGGAAAGACAGCCAACCTTGTTCTACCCTCAGAAAACAGAATCATCATCATGAATCTCACTTTATTTTTTTTTTCTACTTCTATGCCTTATGGTTAATCTTTAGAGATGCAGTTATTAAATGTACTGAAACTGAAAGTTTCTATTTTTTTTTCTTGTGACAGACTAACCAACACTTTCTGAAAACAATAACTGAACAAAATGTGGATGCCTTATGGTTAATCTTTAGAGATGCAGTTATTAAATGTACTGAAACTGAAAGTTTCTATTTTTTTTTTCTTGTGACAGACTAACCAACACTTTCTGAAAACAATAACTGAACAAAATGTGGAAATCGAGCACCTCCGAAAACAACTTAGGTATTTTCAAAAATGAATTTTGTTTTATTATTAATTATTTTTCTTCAGTGGAACTGATGATACAGTAATTTTTCCTATGGGTTTTTTTTTTTTTTTCCTTCCCTTTTATTAAGCTTCTGTCAATAGCATTTTGTATGTGTGATCTGTTAGGTTGGGAAGAGACTGAAATCAAGACTATTAGTCAGGAGATAAGTATAATATACATGTGAAAGGATATACTATGGTGGTAAAACCAGTGGTTATAGAAGAAAACCAATTCCGTTAGAAATAATTTTCTGTACATAGGAGACTACTTCATATCTTTCTTTGGATTATCACATCAGCAGACCCTGAGAAAAGAGTTCTCTAGGAGGTAGTACCAAAGAGCAGCAGGAGGGGAGCGCGGAGGTAAGACAGGGATGGAAGAGAAGGCAGCCAATAAAAGCTTATTCGAAATCAGGCAACTTAATGCTCTATGTATTTGTTGTGGTGCAGTAGTTTAATAATCATTGCGTTAATAGACTTCACAGGAAAATCTCCACATGACCAAAAAAAATTTTGTTTACTTTTATTCCTCTTAATCATAATGCTTAACATTTAGAAGTAAGTCATATATGGTTTTGGTCTATGATGCGGTCATTTAAAAATAACATTAAACTGTAACATAACTTAATGTTTGTTAAATCAACTTCATTTTTAGTTATTTCCGTCATTTTGTATTTTATCCCACAAAATAATATATTGTTTTCAAAAAAAGAGGCTTTTATTTTTTAGGACTTTATGTACCACTTTTTATATTTCAATATTTTTACCTTTGTCAACTTTTTAATTTAATTTAAATAAGTTTACCTTTTTTCCCCCTAGACATTTCTACTTGTGGGGTCTTAATTTTTCCTTCTTATTTCTTCGGATGTTATTAATTTTACGGTTTAAAATAATAATGATTTATTTAATTCCAAGATCTTATTCTTTTTTAAAATGAAAGTCATTTTTTAATTACAAAATTAATGTAAGCCATTATAAAAAAACTCTATATAGTATGAAAGTATATCGAATTGTGATGCAGTTCTGACATTAACTACCCAGAGTTAATGCAGACTATAGGGGTTAAGGACACAATCCCCAAGACTGCCCTTAGTAAGACACCAGTCACAAGTTTGGGGGTCCCTAGGCCATCTTCACTTCTGATCAACTGGCTACAAATTTGGGTATTTCACTAGTCCCTCAGGTTCAATAATTCTCTAGAATGATTCACAGAACTCAGGAAAGTGCTATTTTTGTTATTACAATTTTATTTTAAAGGATATAAATCAGGACCAGCCAAACCAAGAGACTCATAGAATGAGGTCTGGGAGGGTTCCAAAAGCAGAGCTTCCATGTCTTCTGCTTATGGAATCAGGATGTATCATCCTCCTAGCACATCAATGTGTTTACCATCCAGGACTCTCACTCAAGCCTCAGTGTCCTGAATTTTCACTGGGGTTTATTACATGCATATGATTAATTAAATCATTAGCCACATTAGTGAACTTAATCTCCAGCCCCCATCTACTCCCTGGATATAAAGAGATTGGACCTATCATGTGGCTCAAAGCTCCAATCCTCTAATCACATGGTTGGTTTTTGCAGCATGGCCAGCCTCCATTCTGCAGCTATCTAGGGGCATTCCATGAGTCATTCCATTAGCATAAACTCAGGTGCAGTCCCAGGTGCTTACCATGAATAAGAAAAATAATTCTGTCACTCAGGAAATACTGAGGGTATTAGAAGCTCCATACCTGGAAACTGGGACAAAGACCAGACAAATTATTATGCAGTGTAAACTATGTGATACAAATTATGATAAAACACAAGTGAAAAATTAAAATCTCATGTCCATTATTTATTTAGAGGTAACTATTGTTAACTTTTAAAATGTATAGCTTCGGTTTGTGTGTGTGTGTATTTAAATATTTTGTTAAAAATAGCATAATATCAATACTTTAATACCCTAATTTTTCACTTATTAATATATGAACAGCATATCAAAATTATTAATATTGTATAACATACTATCATATGGATGTGCTATATTATTTGAATTCTTATGTACTATTCACTGTTATTCATATTTCATCTTCAGTAAAGTAATTTTTATAGGCTGCCTATTCATTGAACATTATTATTAGTATTAGAACAGTAATTATATAACAAATAGTCCTAACTAGGTTGTTATTATTTTTTATCATTATTGTTAAATAATATTTTAACTAGCACTGTGCAAAAAATTAAAGTATAACTTATATGATTTAAGACATTTGAAAGAAAAACATCTTGGTTGAATGTTTTAATTTTTTTCAAACTTCCTTTTAAAATTGTTTTATAGTAAAAACACTAGACATTAAAGCAAAAACTGACAGAACAGTGGATAAATATACAATCATGGTAAATATTTCAGCTCTCTCAGTGACTGATAGACTAAATGAACAAAAATGAGTAAGGAAATAGAAAATGTGAATTACATGATTAACATGATTACCTGATCTAATAGACATCTCTAGAACGTTGAATCCATTCATTCATTTAGTAATTATTTAGCAAGCATTTAGAACATGCCAGACTCTGATCTTGATACATGGGGTACACCAGTTTACAATACAGTTGAAACATCTGTCCTTCTAAACCTTACATTTTAGTGGGAGTAAGCAGACAATAAACAAACACAGTATCTAAGTACAATATATAGTATGTTATGAGGCTACAGAAAAATGAAAAAAAAAAAAAAATAGACCAGGATAAGAGCAATGTGGAGTGCTAGGGATATTGGTGGGATGCAGTTTTAAACAGAGTATTTAGAGTAGTCCTCATTGAGAGGATGAGATTTGAACAAAGATGTAAAGGATGTAAGCAAACTAGACATGCAATATCAGGACAGAGTATTCCAAGTGAAGAACTACCCGCTGCAGAGGTGCTTAAGGAATAGCAAGGAAGCTGGATATCTCTGTTATCTATTGCTGAGTAATAAACCATTCTAAAACTTTATGGCTCAAAACAACAATTTATTTAGGTTATGATTTGGGGGGCCAACAGAGAAGGTTTTCTTAATTATGCCTGCCGGGCTGATGTCTACTGTCTTGCCTGTGTATCTCCAGCCAGCTGGTAGGTCTGCTGGAATGATGCTCTAGCAGCCTACACTGATGATCAATCTGTCTGAGAAGTTGGCAGACACTTCACCAAGTCAACAGGGCTAGTATTCCTCCTTAGCCATGACAAGGTTCCCGAGAACAGTGAGAGAACAAATCCCTGTATGCAAGTACTTCTCAAGCTTCTCTTGAATCATGTTTTTTAGTTTCCCATGGCACAGCAGGTCACCTGGTCAAAACAGATACCCCTCTTGATGGGAAGATTTTCAATGTCATGTTGCAAAAGTGTGAGTGTAGGGAGGGAAGAATTTATGGCCATTTTTATGATCTTTAATACTAGTATATGTGGAACAGAGTGAGCAAGGAGAGTAATAAGAGCTGAGGTCAGGGAGGTTATAGAGATTGGCGGACAAGGTGATATGGGGCTTTGTAGTCTCTTTTGAGACTTTGGCTTTTCACTATGGATGAAATGGGAATGGTTTTTAGTAGAAGATTGACATGATCTGACATGTTTTAATAAGATCAAACACTCTGGCTACCATATTAAAAATAGACCATACGCACAAATGGAAACAGGGAGACCAACAAAGAACCTGTTGCAGTAACTGAGGCAAAAGGTCATGTTAACTAGGACCATAGTGGTAGCAGTGCGAGATGGTGAGATGTGATTGGATTCTACATGTGTTTTTTTTAATGTTTTATATGGTAGATTCAAGAAGATTCCCTGATAGATTGGACGGAAGCAATGGGGAGAGATATCGAGGCATTAAAGATGACTCCAAGACTCTCCCTCAAGCAACTGGAAGAATGGTGTTGCCATAGATTGAGAAGTCTGTGTGTAGGTAGCCACATTTTTTGTGGTGGGTGGAGTTTTAGCCATAATGAGTTTGCAATAACTACTGGAAATCCTGTTGAAGGTATTCAGTGAATAAGTAGTTCAGGTAAGAGATTTGGACTAGAGATATAAGTTTTTTTTTTTTTTTTTTTTTTTTTTTTTTTTTTTTTTTTTTTTT